TATTTCACCAATAACATCTTCATTACAATATTATCCATTTTTATAACCAGAATGTAGGATAAAAGAGACATATACAGTCAAGTAACCTAATTTCGTGCTAACCTATTTTTCGTGCATTTCCGGAAATGATTAATAATTTACACGTGCTTGTTTTGATAAACATGAGGTTTCTGTACAATATCAGCTAGTAGAATGAATCCAGTAGTCTCAAGCAAGGTAAAATGTTTACTTTGACAAATACAAAGTGGCGGATTTCAGTTATTACCAAACGTCTCAATTTTTTATCGGCCGAATTTCCTTATAATCCCTAGCTGTAATCGGAATTCCAAATGTCGTCTGTTAAAATTTAGTCCAACAAATGAAGTCACGTGATCAACTAGTGGATTCCGTGTCTGCTAGAATTTAGTAATGACAGGCGTTTCCCATAGGATCTTAAGACAGGGAATGAGAAATCATGCTGTCGACTGCAGGTAGTGATAATGACTTGGCACGGATGGTGGTGAGCTTCTCCTGGAGTGTGGCTTGGTAGTGGTTGATCAGCGTCACCTTAGATAGCCATGTCTGTCGTCTGCGGTTGGGAGGTTTTCGCTAACATAAATGATCATCAAACTGATAATTTCTCTACATGGAATAGACTTTTTCATTAAAGACTGTCTGAATCATAATGGATATCAAACTATAAGCAACTGATGAATACAATCTCCGAGAAGGACAGAGCACACCAATATAGATTTTGATGAATGTACAATTCAGAGAGCTCTTGGTCTTAGATGGTGTGTCATATATGATAAAAAACAGTACCACAATTCAATTAACACAAAAAGGCGGATCGCTAGTGTTGCTTCCACAATCTTCGATCCATATGGATTCTTGGCACTGTTCACAATAAGGGCCACGTATCTTATTCAAGACGTATGGCGAAGCAACACTGATTAGGACGACCCCAGTGGCGTTTCTCCCACCCCCTCCCCCCGAAAAGAGGCTGGCCCGGCTTCGTGACCCATGTACAACCCCCTTGCTTAACTTGTGTTTCCTAGTAACACCACTGGACGACCCACCACCAAAAGAAATTACAACGAGAACATCACAACACATTTAAATAGCGACATCATCTCCATTTGACATCTTACCTTGAATGGATGGAAATACACCTGTTTGTAGACGCTTCAGAGAAGGCATTCGGATGTGTCGCCTACCTAAGATATCTTGCATCAAATGGTATTGTTTTTATACGCTCACATGGAAATGTGGACGTATATTGCCGTCCCGTCAGTCCGCCCATCCGACCGCTCACTTTTATTGTTGGCACAATAGAGACTACAGTTTGTATCCAATCTTGATGAAACTTGGTATACATTTATACATGATTAATGTTACTCTTATTCAATATAAAACTGATCAATTTGGCCAAGGAGTTACACTATCAATTCTCGCTATAGGCATACTAGATGACATCATTATGCAGGTCGGGAGATGGAAATCGTCCGTTTTTAAAACTTATATAAGAACTCCTCTCGCCCTCATTCCAAATCTATATTAATCATATAATATGACAACATTTTTCAGAAACATCAAAGTTTGGTGTGTGGGATTCTTCCTTATAAAGTGAACCTTCTTGTTTTCACATCAACCAACTTAGGGCTGGATGATTATACCTTAAGGTGGCAAGGATATGGTGCAAAATCAAATACCAACTTCGTCATTATTTATTTATTCACTGTGATGGAAATGACTTAAGTCTTAAGCCTCCAGGTGAGCTATATAAAAAGGTCGCAAACCTTTTGGCTGAAATTTAGCGAATGTTCCCCGTTTCAAACCTAATTTGGTCACAGGTTTTGCCAAGAATCCATTAGAAATATGCCAGAAATACTAAAAGCATGGGTAAGTGTAGCATAAGACTGAATAGATTTGTTACTAAAAGAGGACTTGAAGTGGGGGGGTTACTACATCAAGTATGGACATTTGGACCGTTGTAACTCACATTTTGTGGATGATGTACACTTTTCCCGTGAGAGGAATGCCATTTTCCCGAGTACTATCTCTAACTTCCTTGAGTGGCATTTAGTAATTGATGATATTAACACGAACACAATTATATGGATAACAATTACTTTAATAAATAACTTGCGACGTTTCGACGATGATTCTTTCGTCTTTATCAAGCAATTGCTATTGTTATTTATTAAAGTAATTGTTATCCATATAATTGTGTTCGTGTTACTATCTCTAAAGCGATAAATATTTTTAATCAAAGTGATCAAAGAATATAATAATGTACTTGCCTTGTTAATTGTTTCTTATTTGTTACTTGGCGCTCTTGGTCACGGCAGGCAATGTACCGCAATTCCTTCAGAATTTTTATATTTGTGGCGGAGGTTCTGTAGTTACTTCACCTGTTTGCCAATATGCGGCACATTATTTTTTGACTGGCACTGTTTCCTGGCCTCATATCTGTAGGCAGCCTCGTGAATTGTGTTGTATTACATTGTAATAGATTGTTGCACATTGTATATAATTTATTTGTTAATGCTGTCGTGATATTTTTTGGTGCCAATAAATCACCTTCTTCAATAACCCATGCTATCAAAACATGCAAATGCAGACGTCACATGTAAATTATTTATCATCTTTTTAAATTTGTTAAAAATAAAGTGAGGGAACAATTAGAGATGTAAATCATTTTTCAAGGGTTCCTCCACTGCTTGTATCTAATTTTAATTCCCCTGTCCTATAATTGTAAATAAATCTGGTGATAACTAACACCCTTTCATACTCTCTAAATACAGCAAAACTTGTAATAAAATATAATATATTACAGTGAAATATTTTCTATTTAATTGTATACAAACAACTGTCAATCTTTCATTGAACTATTCACCTCTAAAATATAGTTTGATCATATAACAACAAGAAACAAATAAACAAACAATATTTCAGTAAAAAATATCACTTTTACTGTTTTACCCCTTCAGAGCCAGTTTGTCTCAAAATGAGATATATTTAAATTAAATAATCTAAAAAGCTAAGGAGATGTGGTGTTCAAAGTTTGAAATGGATATTGAATAAATCTGTTCAATATATCAATAACAGAACACAATTTTATGGTATACTACTCCTGAGTTTGATTGTATAGAAAGTTTCAAAAATTGACACGGTCAACAGCAAGTGAAATCAAGTGAAATTTGTAAATTGTTTAAGCGTTGTGTACAATAAAACTCAGTTTACCATAAACTTGTGTTCTGTTTTTAATGTAATCTCTACCATTAAGTGTCCCTTTAAGGATTATTTACAATAACATTACTTGCAATGGAAGATGCAGTTATAAAAAGGTTGAACCAGAAACAACTTTCCAGTCTTGGTTATCCACATTCTGATTTACAAAAAATTTACTATAAAAAATCTGTACAAGCAAGAGAATTCTGTTAATCAAAATCTGATCCAAAGCATGGCAAGTAAAAGAGAGTAAAAGTTGTGTGGTAGTGGATTCCTCCAGAGAAGTACCATCAGGTGTTTCAAAAAGAGTGAGCATGGTCTGCTTCGTGCGCAACACCACCACTACTAAAATGGTAAAAATCATGAGATAGAACCAGATCAATTCAGGCCTGACTAACATATAATGGGTGACTAATTGCCGGGCTGTGGAAATAGAACAATTATTAAGTGCTAAACTAAGATTAAATTAGTAATTTCACATACTTTTTCCACTTCCTATGGACAATTGAAGTTTTTCCCCTAGTGAAATAATGAAGATGGTAAACCTAGGGAAAATTAGCTTAAAAACAGTATCAACCTTCTTTTTGTCAATTTTCTACTTCCAAGGAATATTGATTTAAAAAAAAGGCTAAATAGATAAATATTTTAGCAAAGGTAAAGAATAAAAAAATTATGAAAGTAACAGACTTAAATATATCTATTTACATTATTTAACCTTAAAGTTCTCTTTCTCAACCAAATTTATACAGACCATCATACAAAACAACTAGTGTGAAACTGACTGATAATTGGCTATATTTAGTCATTAATTTGACAAGATGTCATTAGAAGTAAATTTGATACTGGTGCCAGAATTATAACACATTTCTGACTAAATATAGACAATTGAAACTTTAGAATCATAACATGCAGTGTTCAAAGGGTTAACAGCAAATGTCAAATGAGTAATACACATAACATTTTGATTACAAGCACAAAAGAAGATCCAAATTTGCTAACTCATTCATTCCTTTCCTTTTGGACAGATTCTGTTTGGACTCCTTATTTCCAAAACAAAATGTGTCAAAAATGATCATCGGAAGTAAGGAAGAAGTTGGCATAATTTAAAACAGGTATTGGAAGGGATATAGCAGTCTAAATATATCATATAATTATAACATTGGTAATAGCTATATCGCTCTACAATATGGATGTATTTAGCACTATTTTAACAGTGAAGATATTTTAAGATATATCTATATTGGAGAATGTTATAATGCCTTGGAAATTCTAAAACTGGTGGTTTTTCATATGGAAAAGAGCAATGGAAAGGAAGTGCTCTATGGTTTCGAATATGGAAAACACCCCTCTAACTTGGCAGATCCCCTTAATTTAAGCGATAATAAATAAATAATCTGGTTTTCCTGCTATTCCAAACTGAACTGTAGAATAATATACCTGAGATAATATATCAAATATTTAGATAACAGTATCCCTTTAAGGAAGAACAAATAAACTTTGGTTAATAGATATAGAGTATTATTATATTATATATACAATATATATATATTTATAATTGAGGGAATAAAACACTATAATGCTGTGAGCATTGTTTGAGATTCCAATAAAAGTACAATTTTAAAAATTCCATAGAAAATGATTAAATACAAGAAAAGTCTTTGTCCAAAAATTGAAATATAGGTAACAAAGCATGATCAAAAAATAGAAAGATAGCTTGCCAGGCAAGGTAACATACGCCCACTGGCAGCTGTCAGAAACAAATAGTCCTTTGTGACTAAAATATGTTGTTTTTTTTTTTCATTTTAAAGATCTTAAATTGAATTTTGTAGTTTGAATTTAGTTTCATTAAAATCAGTTGAAATATGTAATCTCTATTGTGTAAGAATCAAATTTTGATGCGTTTTTCCTAAATCAAGAACAATAGTTCAAAAACTGTTCTTCGAAAAAAATTCAAACTTGACCAAGGTCTCATCAATATAAATGATTACACTAAGTTTCATTAAAAACTTGGACCTTTTTCTCCAGGGTCAAGGGCAAAACTAAAAAACCAATTTTTCTCTAAAAATCGTCAAATTCAACCAAGATCTTACCAATACAAATGATCGCACCAAATTTCATTAAAATCAGTTAAAGACTGTAGTCTCTATTGTGTTCACAAACAAAGTTTGTGGCGTGTTTTTCCTTAACCAAGGGCAATAACTCAAAAACCATTCACCAAAAAAAAAATCAACAAATTTGAACTTGACTAAGATCTTATCAATACAAATGATCGCACTAAGTTTCATTAAAATCGGATGAAAACTGTAGTCTTGTGTTCACAAGAAACGGACAGACAGACAGGGGCTACAGCAATATAAGTCCTTTTTCAAAAAAAAATAAATAAGTCACATGAAAAACATTAAACATATTTAAATATCAAATGAAGAATTTTCAGATCAATGACTAGTTTTAAGTTGTATTTGAGTAGATTCCCATAAACTGAAAACAGAAAAATAACTGTCAAGTCATGCCTTGAGCTAAGATATGTTGAAAAAAGAGCAAAAAAATAAAAAATAATAATAATTTGGAATGGTTTGATTCTAAAATTCAACAAAAATAAGGAAATCAAATTTTCCAAATTTCCATCAGCTTGACTTAAAGGTGGTATGTTTATTCTTTAACATGTGATTTGGAACCAGATGTTGACGTCACCTGAAAAAATAAAAACATGTCATGTTTTCATGTCTGTGTTTCCACTGAGATCAATCTTACTAAAATGAAATTTTTTTTGTTTTCTGATATTCTAGTCTCCATTGTAATCAAGCAAGTTTTCTACCACAGGACCCAGCCAATTATATTTAACCAATCAAAGTGTAGGTAGAACTTATTTCTTCATAAAATGATGACAAGAAGATAGCAAAACATCAATTTGACCATTTATCTAAAGCAATCCCAGATTCTTATCGTTGTGTTATTTCAAAGTTCTGATTGAACTCAACATTGAATCCTGAGAGAAAACTGACTTTGTATTTTATGTGATAAATTTTCAATAGAGGACGAATATCATTTATTTTAGAATGTAATCATTATAATAATCTACGCGCAAAATGAATTAAACAGTATTATTGGCACAAACCATCAATATTAAAACTTACAGTACTTTTTTCAATGTAAAACAAAAAGCAGCTATGTAATCTTGCTAGATACTTGATTTGTTCAGTGAAAAAAGAGAGATTTATAGGTAATTAATGTTGTAGTTTTACATTTCTTTAGTATTTTTATAATTAGGTTATATTTATTCACATTATTAATATTGTATATATTATTCATATTATATATTGTATATTTATATATTATGCTGATGAGTCTTAATAGCTCTTAAGGCTAGTGCACATGAGAGCTCCCAGCTGAGTAAAATTTCATTCGTACCTCTCAGCTCAGCTCGTAGCTCTCGTGTGCGCAGAGTTTACGTAAGGTTTTTTTCATTCGAGGCGTTAAGGAAATTATCTGTCGTGTTTGATAATTTTTCCTCGAATGAAAAATACCTTACCATGTGCACACTCAAAAGCTTTCAACTTTGAACTGGGGCACATGAGCTAGCAGGTGATCACACAAAAATGGCTTGTATCTGAGTTTGTATCTGAAGCAATTATCGAAGAAAAGTCTGGGCGGAATATCCCCAATTTAAAAACAGAGATAGCAGAGAGAAGGCAATTGAAGAAATTGGCCGTAAAATTAATCAGTCGACGTCCGACATTTTGTTTAAGCCACGTGAGAATGTCACGTGATCTAGTTATTATTAGACGTCTATGACTCGACACCCCGATTACGAAAGCTTAAAGCTTAGCGTGTGCTGGGAAAACCGACGAAAGCTGCGAGCTGAGCTGGGAGACACAAATGAAATTTTGCTCAGCTGGGAGATCTCGTGTGCGCTAGCCTTTAAATAAACATTACATTACTCAATTCTGTACTGTATATATTCATCAAAATAAGTAATGGCACGCAAACAAAGCATTATAACGAGTGATTTGTTTTCATTGGATGAAATTTGCTACCAATACAGTAGGGCCAATTTTGATTGGACAATATTTAGCTATGAATACGTAAAATGTCAATTTTCTTATCAATTTACAGATGAAGCCATACCTTTTCTATCACAATGTCTTCAGTAATATCTGATAGTTCACTACCAAATATCTGTACATGAGCTTGTCCAAACAGATCCTCCATTGCACCTCGATGGGTCGATACTTTAGCTCTAGTCATTGGTTTCACTTCTGTTCCTAACCTGATATTATGACAAACTACATCAGTAAACTTTAGACATAATACATAACTTACAGGGATTTAAAGAGGTTTTCCCTGATACATATAAATAATTCTAGAAAACCTCTTTACAATCCCAGAATTGATGTGCAGTTATGCCTATACAAAATTTTTATATCGCTTTTCAAACAGGGTACAACTGATTATTGCAATCCTTTATGTATTAGTGAGAATTTATCAAGTCATCAATAACCTCTGCATGAGATATGCCATGTTGACAAACCCGGTCTAAGAAAGGTATAAGGTGATTCTGAAGTTACATCAAAAAAAATTAAATGAATGTAGTTTTACGTCCTACTCTTCTGCACCTTGTGGGCCAATAAAGACAGGCAACGCCATGCAGGGTGCCATGAGGGAAATTTTGCCAGGACAGCGACATCAGCCTGCTCTTTTTCAATTTCCAACTGTCGAGGGATCTTTAACATGCACAGCCTGTAGCACACGGGGCCTCAGTTTATTGTCCCATCCGAACGACTAGACGCTTTTTCCATGTCAGCCCCTCTTACCTGCATCACTGACAGGGGGAAACCGGGTTGAAAAATTCGAAGGTATCATTTGACCTTTGCCAGGATTGAACCCTGGACCTTCAGGTTAGCGAGCAAGCGTCTAACTCACTGAGCCACCGCGGCTCCTGAAGTTACATCAATACATGCCCATTCTTTCTAGCAGCATCAGAAACAATCATAGTTATAGTGGAGCTCAAATTTTCGGATATAGATGCCTTTTATTGGTTGTGAACTGATTTCCAAAATTTCATGGCTTCAGATATACTTCAAATTACAAATGTTAGTTGGTAAACTTCAAGGCTTTACCCATATCAAATAATAATGCCAAATGATTCCAATAAAAAGTATTGGTTAAGATAACAATAAATTTACACTAATAAGAGGAATAACAATTCTCACCATACAATATAAACAAATTTAACTGTTTTGATATCATCTAGATGATCAGTGAGTCGATATAAACCATACATAGCTTCATCTTCTACTAGATTTTCTCTCAATTCATCCACAGTTCCCTCCCCTTTATTCTTTACTATGATTGGACCTTTGGGGCTGCCATCTTGATAAGATGCCAAGACCCATTGTATATTATCTTTCTGGTTCCTGACAGCTTGTATTGCCTCTGCAACACCAGGATCTATATCTATCTTTACTCCTCCACGAGATATGTTGTTCACTCCAAATTTGGGTCCATTGTTTCGTTGTGGTACCTGTGTTTGTGTAAAGCCTCTCTCTTGCCTGCCTTCGACATTTTCTAGCACTCTAGATTTTATTCCAGCAGTATCATCTAGCTAGAAAATATAAATACATCTGTGACTATTTTTTTTATAAATGGTGACGTTGAGTACAGGGATCAAAGCAATAAAAACAAATGGAAAATATCTGCAAAGGGTCACAGGGTCCACAGGCTCCAATGTGGGGGTCAGGGGATATTTTATCATTCTAAAATCTTTTAGAGGTCTTTTTATCCCTCAAACCAAATTCTAGTGAAAAAAAAATGCCACCTAGGATCCCTGAATAGTAGCATGAACATGGACAAACAAATATCGTGGTTTCCAGATTATCAGCAACAGGATAAACGCGGCTCCACTGTATACACAGCTATTTTGTTATTACCTGTTTCTGATATATAAAAGACATATTGAAAAATGAGTGGCATTCATTTGATACACATATTTAACTTCTCATTTGAGCTCATCTGTCAAGTGTTCAGTTGTCTGCTTTTATGAAACAATATTAATAATTCATAAAAAATTTGGTTTTAAAAATGCTTCATGTTTAGTTTCATTTCATAAACTTAGTCAGGTGATCTCTTTTATTTTTTATAATGAGATTCAGCAGACATTATGTATCAGTATGATAATATAGTTTGAAAACAATGTATTAATGAAGAAATCAATAATATAATACTGAATACTGAACCTACATTGTATATCTAAAATTTACCTATATATATTAGTCATCTATTCAAATATTTATTGTATAATTACTATAGATAACTAGACTTGGAAGTCTGCTTATGTTGTATAGATGAAAGATCGCATTGGCTTAATTAAGATTCTTAACTAAGGAGCAAATATAATATGTAACATTATGAAAAATACAATTCGATTCCAATTTCTTTTGGGAGCCGCGGTGGCTCAGTAAGTTACACGCTTGCTCGCTAACCTGAAGGTCTAGGGTTCAATCCCGGCATAGGTCGAGATAATACCTTCGGATTTTTTAACCCGGTTTCCCCCTGTCAGTGATGCAGGTAAGAGGGGCTGACATGGAAAAAGCGTCTAGTCGTGCGGATGGGACAATAAACCGAGGCCCCGTGTGCTACAGGCTGTGCACGTTAAAGATCACTCCACAGTCCAGTCCACTTTATTTGTAGGTATTTAAAGTAGTATTGAAGAAAGTATAAGACTAGCTTGTACAGATTATATTCAATTTTATCTTGCCTAAAAACATAATGGACTGACTTTGTTAATGTTTAACAAGTTGCCTGGAAGGGAATCTTGTTTATACAAAAACATGCAAAATAAAAGAAGGTAACTATCTTGTTGATGAAGGTACAATATGGTACGATTTCATACAGGCATTTAGTAAATATACATCTTCAAATTCATACAGAAAACACATTAAAAAATAGATGATCAAGAAGTAAATAGCGTATCAGAACAAAAATATGCATTCCAAAAATAAAAGATAGCTTGCCAGGCAAGGTAATATACGCCCACTGGCAGCTTTGATTTTGAATAAAAATATTTGGTAGTACAGTAACAATCACCAGTATGAAATATTCAACCTTCAGTCATACACTTCTTTTGAACTTTTTGGGGTAAAACTGAACAATATTATCAAATTTTGTCAAAATCCAGCATTGTACCTTTTGGTGTTTATGAGCTAAAAATTGAAAGTGTTTTCAAGAACAAGGGCAATAACTCGTACTAAATAATTTTCAACTCTTCTGATTTTCGATAGGATTCATCATTGGGTGATTACAAACACTCACACCAAGTTTTGTCAAGAATTGTTTCTTGTAGAATGTTTACGAGCAGTTGTGGACGGACAGACGGACGAACAAGGGTGACGCCAATATACACCCTTTTCATGTGGGTGTATAAAATAAAATAAGATTCCTAAACAAAATTCAAAGAAGATAAACCCTTCAGATCATACTGTTTGAACATAGACACTAACTGAAAATGTTACCAACATCAAACCCAGTGCTAGAATTGGGTACTTTTCACCAAAATTGTACCGGATTAGGAAATATATTATTTGAATAGCTCTATGTAATCTGTAATGGGGGATCTGTCTTGGTCAAGGGTTCAAGGGTTCAATCCTGGCAGCAGTCAAAACAATATTTTCAGCTTCTCAACCCAGTTTCCCCCCTTCAATGATGCAGGTCAGAGGGGCTGATGTGATAAAGCATCTAGTCGTTTGCATCAGAAAGTCAAAGGCCCTTTGTGCTAAAAACTGCATGTTGAATATCCCTCAACAATTGGAAATAGAAAGTAATCGGTGAATGTAACTGTCTTGCAAAATTTCCCTCACGGCATTGCATTGCCTGTCTTCTTTAGCCCAATCAGGTGCAGACAAATTCAATACAATTCATATAAACTAGTATGAGCACTACTGAGAAAGTGAATCATGATCGTCTCTATTTCTCCGTTATATTCTACCAAACTTTGCTGGTAGCATTATAAGAATTATGTACCCAAAACCTTAAGATCACCACATGCTCAGATTTCTTCACACTAAGAGAGAATACCTACTAAAGACTCATCTGGAATTGAGCTCTCTGGATCAAACTATAAAACAATATTAATTGTCACAAAAAAATATAGCAATAATGCAACAAGTGGTTGCCTAGCAGGATACGCCCACTTTCCTGATACATTAAGATTTTCAGTATATCAAGGGCAGTCACCTATCTGTGTCAAATCATACTAAAAATCTAATTTGTGTAAAATATTGTTGATTTAAACAAAGACACATTATTTAATAAAATTCTGACATAAACTGTCACCTCTATCGCTAACAAATTTTTTAACAAGGTTTTAAAATAGTAATGTCACTTACCTGGCGTAAAATTTTCTCAGTATCTAAATCTTCAGTAGTGTTAGTTTCTACCAGAATATGATATGGATCAAATAGTTTCTCTACACTTCCTTTAATAACACCATATTTACCTCTTCTTGCTATTGGTACTTTATCTCCTACCCTAGAAAATAGAACATACAGGTACTTTATCTCCTACCCTAGAAAATAGAACATACAGGTATTTTATCTCCTACCCTAGAAAATAGAACATAGAGATACTTTATCTCCTAACCTAGAAAATAGAACATAGAGATACTTTATCTCCTACCCTAGAGAATAGAACATACAGGTACTTTATCTCCTACCCTAGAAAATAGAACATACAGGTACTTTATCTCATACCCTAGAAAATAGAACATACAGGTACTTTATCTCCTACCCTAGAAAATAGAACATACAGGTACTTTATCTCCTACCCTGGAAAATAGAACATACAGGTACTTTATCTCCTACCCTAGAAAATAGAACATAGAGATACTTTATCTCCTACCCTAGAAAATAGAACATACAGGTACTTTATCTCCTACCCTAGAAAATAGAACATAGAGATACTTTATCTCCTACCCTAGAAAATAGAACATACAGGTACTTTATCCCCTAACCTAGAAAATAGAACATACAACCTTATCTCCTACCCTAGAAAATAGAACATACAGGTACTTTATCTCCTACCCTAGAAAATAGAACATACAGGTACTTTATCTCCTACCCTAGAAAATAGAACATACAGGTACTTTATCTCCTACCCTGGAAAATAGAACATACAGGTACTTTATCTCCTACCCTAGAAAATAGAACATACAGATACTTTATCTGCTACCCTAGAAAATAGAATATACAGGTACTTTATCTCATACCCTAGAAAATAGAACATAGAGATACTTAATCTCCTACCCTAGAAAATAGAATATACAAGTACTTTATCTCATACCCTAGAAAATAGAACATAGAGATACTTTATCTTTCTACCATAGAAAATAGAACATAGAGATACTTTATCTTTCTACCCTAGAAAATAGAACATACAGGTATTTTATCTCCTACCCTAGAAAATAGAACATACAGGTACTTTATCTCCTACCCTAGAAAATAGAACATACAGGTACTTTATCTCCTAACCTAGAAAATAGAACGTTCAGGTACTTTATCTCCTACCCTAGAAAATAGAACATAGAGATACTTTATCTTTCTACCCTAGAAAATAGAACATAGAGATACTTTATCTCCTACCCTAGAAAATAGAACATACAGGTACTTTATCTCCTAACCTAGAAAATAGAACATTCAGGTACTTTATCTCTTACCCTAGAAAATAGAACATACAGGTACATTATCTCCTACCCTAAAAGATAGAACAAAGGTACTTTATCTCTTACCCTAGAAAATAGAACATACAGGTACTTTATCTCATACCCTAGAAAATAGAACATACAGGTACTTTATCTCCTACCCTAGAAAATAGAACATACAGGTACTTTATCTCATACCCTAGAAAATAGAACATAGAGATAGTAATAATAAGAAGAAGGCAACCCATTCAGCAATAATAACAAATGAGAATAATAAAAAGTGATATCAGGTGTCTAGAAGACTAAGCATACCCTGCCTTGCGCAGATTTATTTATTTCTTTCAAAATAGAATATTGTGGTGCTTGAGTCTAATGACAAAAGTATCAGGTGCTGGAATAAAAAAAATCATTAAACGCTGTCTAGCTCACATTAAATATGCAGACACATATTGAAATGGATAAAATAGGTTCTATTGTATTGTTTCAATGTAATATTCATTATCAAAGAGCAATGTTCTATTTAAGCGGTATGACATGGCAATTTGCAATGAAAATGTACCCTTTTGATGATCTGCGAATCAAATAAAAATGTATATTTGAAGGTTTATTACTGGAACATTTAAAATTGCTACAGAAAATTTAAGAAATATGAATCAAAATTTAACTTTATTAGCCAAAACTTAAATTTAGTCAGATAAATTGCTTATCTAAATTGAACTCTGTAAAGGAGCCTGGAGTGAAACAACCTACAGAAAATACCTACCATCTTATATATACAAATTTAACAGTGGAGGACATATCAAATTTAGTAACAAATCTTGCAAAAGTATAGAGTATTTGAGAATCATCCATGTATGAAGCTATCTCTTTTGTGTCCTGTCCAACAGCGATGACCTTAATACGATTAGGATCTTCACCATCATGACCAAACACAGCGTATGTATCATCTGTTGAATCATTTCTAACTGATTTAATGGCCTCTGTAAAGGCAGTTCCATCAACAACTTCTACTTCAGTACTCATTTTTCTTTCTGAAAAGAATCCAGAGATATGGTAAGTTAGTAGATGATTATTCAACAAATTTTTACTTACCAGCTGATAGAGCTCAATTTCAGTTATCCAAATCCTTGGTCTGCTTTTATCCATTTGTAAGTATTTAGGAATAAGAATTAAACATTGGTCTCAATAGCATTATAGTTGGCCGTTCATATTGAATCCGGAACATCGCTCATAATGCACACAAACAATGGTAACACTATGTCACTGCAGTAAAATAGACACCTTGACATTTGTAGCGCCTTCTTTTTTATTTTCATTTTCATTAGTTCAAACCTTATTGATTCAGCTATTTCATGATAACTTTAAATGAAGTGTACTATCACATATTTATGAGAAGGGGCAGTTTTAAGCCCATTAAGGCTTTTTTAGGCTGTGGAATGGGTTTTTAGTGACTTCACATTGGTAATTTGTGTTATGAACATTGCTTTCAGGGTCTCAAAAACGAGGCGTGAATAAGGTCTATTGGTGTGTAAATGCAATTGATTATGTGACAAACTGAATAAATGACAAGGTCATTTATGTGACAAACTGAATAAATGACAAGGTCATGTATGTGACAAACTGAATAAATGACAAGGTCATGTATGTGACAAACTGAATAAATGACAAGGTCATGTATGTGACAAACTGAATAAATGACAAGGTCATGTATGTGACAAACTGAATAAATGACAAGGTCATTTATGTGTGTTTGTGGCGTGATCAACAGCATTTACACACTAATAATGTTAGTGATACCAACTTTTAATTCTAATATTTATATTCAGATACTTTTATTAATACAATTTTCACTGTTTTATATGATTAGTTATTTGAATTTGAATCATTCACAGCAGAAAATTTTAAAGACTCCATCGCATTTACAAGTCAATTTTGACTCATCAGAGATCTAACCAAATACACATACACACCAAGTTTCATCCAAATTTGGTATTGGTATCTAAAAATCCTTGCAGTTACCTAATAAAGTGGAGCCCGTTATCCGATCATCTGGAAACCCTAATATCTGCACACTTTTTACTGTGAACAGAATATATATCATGTAAAATTAAAAATTCTGTTTCCAATTTCAAATTACATAGTAATCAGTATTCACTATCTAATGGTGTGTCACTGTGAGTTACATACATAGAAATCAACAGATTTCCACACACAAATAGCCATATGTTGCTTTTAAGAAACAGAAATGATGTGCAGCTTACCGAAATCAAAGGAATAGTACTGAGCCATGGTACAGGGACTAATAAACCTGGTCTAAAAGTCTGGTTCTGTGCATACCAAGTAAAAATCAATAAATTATTCATTAGAACCCATTTTAAACTTATGTTACATCCATCTATATCTATAAATAGTCTTCTCATTAAAATAGAATTTTGTCATTTTGAAAATGTCTAGTTTTATCTGACCTTGATTCTTTTGCCTAACTACCAAATGGACTGGTTGAACCAAGTCCACTAGCTCCAACCCATAAGGGAGCCCCACAGCAAGAAAACAATACAGGAGAGCCTATGTTTAAAAAAAAACAACCTGGGAAGGGGCCTAAACACCCTAAAGTTCACAGGCTCCGATTCTAATGCAATTGATCAAAGATCCTTAAAGTGGTAATAGAAAGAAAAAGGTTGAAAACCCCTGCTTTGGAGGAACTGGAACAAACAGAACCTAATCTGAACTTTAGCTCACCAACCACATGCAGACATGTGCATTACATATATATATAGAGAGAGAAATAGATTAAACTGCATGTTACCTTTGTCAACCTAACATTACAGCTAGAAGACAAATAGACTGGGTGCATTGAAGTGACTACATTAACTGCCTTACATACAAGAAAGGTTGTAAAAAGAAGATCAAAGCTAGAAAAGTTTTCTTATTAGATCCCTCATTAAATAAAGAATTTTGTCATTTCTACAAGATGTGTTAATGTTAGACAATAATTGTCTCATAGTTGTTTGTCTGGTTTGTCTTGTATTGGGGTGATGCAACAGGAGAGACTAGACTATTCTTAAATTAATAACAATTCAACTGAAAACTTAACTTCACATTTCTACATCTATCATAGCATTGCCATTCTTATAAAATTTACAAGTCAGCCATTTTAATGTCAAAATTTATGAATTCTGAACTATCATCTATTAATTAAATGACAAAAAAGCTGTCCTTTCTGACAGAGTTGGATCGCGATATAGAGAGATATATAGAAAATTTCAACAATGAAAATTCTAGTTTCTATAGAGATAACCAAATAAAATTTCAAATCAAGAGCAATAACCCTTAAACTGTTTATCGAAAACATAAAGTCCAAACTCAGCTAAGATATTACCAAACTACATTAGTATACTAAAAATTATCAAAATTTGATGAAGCCAGAAATAGGGTTTTTCATCAAATTTGATGAAATATCAATCCCATAAGCATACCTAGTTTCTATTTAAATTGATGCAAAATCTGGCTTCAATCTGTCTTCTATCTGGCTTCTATCATGCTAACAAGCTGATTTTGTTGCATTTTTCTTAAAATAAATGTAATAGAACTATATGTAGTTTTCTATGTTTTTTTTCACTACTCCAGGAAGTGATCTTGTTTTCTGACCTGGAATTCGAGTTTTAAAATTTGTCATCCATGTTTTTATTTTTTACCTATTTTTCTGTGGGAGATGCAAAAATTGTTCAAAGTTTGTCTGAAAAGTACCATATAGCTTCATACTGCCAGTGATATCAGAAATATATTTGAAAATGTTAAATCGTTAAAATCTAGCTGCAGACATCTTAAGGTGATAGCCACTATGATGAAACATTTCCCAGCAGTCATCATTAACAATAAACCGCATGCTACAGGCTATGCGACATTCGAATGTTAGCAAAATTCACACATTGCACATTGTCTTCATTTGCCCAATGGATGCAGGAAAGTAGAACATATAACTCCATTCATTTCATTTCAACATTAACATCAGTACAAATAATATATTTCAAACCAAGGTCGTTTTATCAACAAATTAGTTGCCTAGGAAACAGATTTTATTTATTATCTCTGATGAAAATCATTATTTAATTATTATATAGAATTATAACATTCATTAATAAAGAAATTTAAAGCCATAATATATTCAATTATAAAAAAAATTATTCATAGACAGAATATGTAGATTGATATGGACTAGACATTTTCCTTCTAATGTAGAGATTCTGAAATATTAATTAGATTTAAAAAGTCGACTAAAATTGTCCAGAATCTTAATAACAGAAATCATAGTCAAGGAAGAACTTAATTTTAATAGCTAGACAAGAATGGCTCTCACTCTGTCCAACAAAGATTTTATATTAATTTTTATCATTTTTTTTTTATCTATATGAGCTGGGGGTGGGGATACTATTGATTGACATTTCTATACTATTTGATCAGTTAACATTTACTGAATTTAAACACAAACCATTAACATTTACTGAATATAAACCACAAACCATAAACCTGACTTGGAAAAAGCGTCTAGTTGTTGGGATGTGACAATAAACCAAGGCCCCATGTTCTACAGGCTGTGCACATTAAAGATCCCTTGACAGTTGAAAATCGAAAAAGAGCACCCTGCATGGCGTTCATCTTCATTAGCTCACATGGTGCTGAAAAGTTGGACGTAAAACTCCATTCATTCCATTTTTGACTGGATAGTCATCTTGTTTGTATCATGAAATATAGCGATTTGATTGGATTGTACGCCAGATAATATACAGCCAATCAGAGTCCTCAACAGAAAGACTGTCATCATAAGACATCATTGCTTATTGTTTATAGGCTTTCTTACTGGGCTCTGATTGGTTGAACCAAATCACTGCATTTATGAACTTCCGAGATACAAGAAAGGTGGCTATTGCAGTCAAGATATAAAATGCAGTTTGTGATAAATTGACATTGTGAAGATGGGGAATCCATTTTTTTTCTCCTGTTTTTAGTCCAATACACAATTGAAAACATCCTGAACTTTTAAACTGTCATTTCGAAAATTGCATTATTTCTTCAAAAATATATATATCACAGAGTTTTCATTTTTATTCTGCACACACATGTATTTGAAGGCTCATATTTTGACAGTGAGCTATGAACACTGTTACAGATTAGATTAGTTAAAAAATTCCTGTATCTGAGACTAAGGTACAATTAGTCAAACTTTAAGGTGACTGCCTTTAATTTAAAGGCTATAGACAAAAATGTTGAAGGAATTTCTGTTGTAAGTTTATTATTTCAAACATACACTGCATATTGAACAATGTCAAGTGCAATATGACACAACTAACTCCACCTTGTAATGTTGGTTCTCTCTACTTCACTTACATTATTAATGTTGTTTTACCAGTATTTAAAATGATTTCCTGTTTGAAATTCTACAGTTATGTTGTTCATCGTCTACAGATTTTCATATAAAGACACTAGGAAAATATTGACAAAATTACACAGACAAAAGATGACAGAATTAGATTGGATTATATGCCAGTGAATACAGCCAATCAGAGTCCTCTGCAGAAAGACTTTCAACATTATTGGCTTATTGTTTACAAACTTTCTGTCAAAGTCTCTGATTGGCTGTATTTGTTAACTGATAATCCAATCTAATCGCTGCATTTACAAACTTACGTATAACAAATAAGGTTTCTTATTTTGCAGTTTGCAGATCATAATAACTAGACATTATGACATCATGTATTCTTTAGTACTTTATCTTTTTTTCTTAAGGAAGGCTAATAGCACTTGTGTCATTACAAAAAGAGCAAATAAGAGAGAGGGGCTCACAGAAATTTCTTTTGAAAATGAACCACCAATTTTTAAAATCATATTTTCAAAAACCAGTTATTATTTTTTCATTGGCTGGCATTTTCATGAACCCCAAAAGAATATCTAAGATAGAGGTTAATATACCAACTTATTTTTACAAATAAAGTTGGCAAAGTGAGATTCTACAACAATATAAATTCATATAAATACTTGATAATTTAATTAGCTTTATTGATTTTTTTAAACCAATGGAGACCCCCCCCTTTTTTTATCCACTAGGTCTTCTAAATCATTATAGGCTTATATACATGTATTACTTATTAGACTTCCTGGACTAGCAAAGAGGAAAACATAACAGGACATAGGGCCTGGTGGCATTTTCGCCAACAATGACTGTTTAACATATTAATCACAAATATTTGTAATATTACCTTAAGTGTATTTCAATCAGTCTCGTCGAATAGTCGAGTTGACAGCTCAGCTTCATAAAATTCTCTACAATCCACAACTGCCACACCCACTTTGTGCCTCCACTATCAAGTCACTTATTGATCGATAGTCGCGATTTACCAGTCAGAAAAAGAGTTAATTCCCTTAGATCAAGAAATCTGGTGTTCCTATCTTCTTTCAGATTCATGTCTATAGCCTCAAAGGGGGGAGTGGG